GTCTTGAAGTTATTGAATAAAGTTAACCAGAGAAATCAAGATCTCGAACGGTTAACTCAAAGGTACGGCGGAGCTCTCGAAGATTAGGGAAGAACAACATTTTCTCTCTTTAAAAGCTCTGACTTCTCTCTAGAAAATATAAAAATCCAAAGTGTTTTTACGAAGTCAAACCGGTCCTATTTATAGGCAAAATTTATGAGGACAAAATGGTAAAACCACTTTTCTCACCAAAAGCTCAAACGACTACTTTTGAAAAGTTTAACCTAGAAGTTTAAACGGTTAAAATAATCGCTCTGTCATTAAAGACGGGAAGATGAACAGTTGCCTTAACGACACATCAAAAAATAAACGGCCAAGTCAGTAGAATTCGAACCTTCAGTCTGGAAAATACGGAGGACAAGTGTCCCACCTGATACCAAGCGGCACTACTCGTCCGACTGATTTTAAAACCTAAGTCCACTAATGAAATCAGGCAGACCGACTAAGGCAGTTAGCCGAAAGGAATAATCCCATGACCAGACGAACGGAACAGTCTGTCTCTCTTTAACAATGATGCTCCATCAGCCCGACACACGAGCGACCCTGGATGAGTGAAGATCAAAGGAGGCAGCCCGTGTGGTACGAGCCACCCTCTCTCAGGGGAAAATATTTAGGGTGAAAATACCCCTGACACGTGGCCCAATCCTATAGTGACACGTGGCCCAATAGAAGGGCAACACGTATCCTAGTAGGAAGCCGACACGTGGAAAAACATGGGAGCACCTGAATGAGAGAAAGGCCTCCGTACATCAGGAGGCCCCAAATCTCGAGAAAGGTGCTAAAACGGCGCCCCCAAAGGATACTTGTCCTTACTTGATTGCACTGCCAATCAAAGCACACTATTCTAGGTCATCAAACCCTAGATGACACACATTTCCACACCTATAAATATCCAATCATTTATGATGGAAGGGGTGGATAGAGACATATCATTCAAGAGTATTAAATTGCTCCAACTTCTCTCTACTTTCACTCTCTAGATTACTTTGTTTTCCTATCACTAACTTGATCGTCGGAGGTGAATATTCTGTCAAATAGAATATTCGTTGTTTTGCAGGTGTCCGCGATCGTCCGATTATATTCTAGACCTGTATCCCGAGAGATTCCAAAAAAACCCTGAAACAATCACCAAAAAAATATCGTTAGTAATAAGATCCTAGGTATGATACTAAACATATTAATAACAATCCTAGCATTTCACTAATAACAAAATCAACACATTATCCTAAACATGATTTCTAGTAATCAAAATCAACACATTATTCTTAACATGATTTCTATTTAAAAAAGTAATTAAATTACTTACTTTGATGTCGCGACCTTCTTGTTAATACACACCTTAGTAAACTTCAAGAAAGTAAAATCAATAAAGTAAATAATAAACCAATATATTAATTAAGAATAGAAATATAGATTTGGGACCAAACCCTCAAAATTATCAACCTTTCACATCGAGGTCGAAGACAACGTCGAGTATGGTTTGGAGTATTCAAATCACGCAAAGGAAGTATAGTGAATGATGTATCTAGGATGTGTTTAAGCTAAGGCTAAGAACATGGGAATTAAGAATCATGGGTTGATCAGGATGTGTTGATCAGGATTGATGATGATTGTTGATGATTGCAAACGGGGAAAATGACCTCTATTTATAAGGAACAAAGAGAGTCGAACGATCGGAAAAAGATCAGAAGTCTGAACTGTGATAGAATTTCTTTGACGCAGCGGCACAGGTTTGTCGCGTCACGTTAACCCTTGTCGCATCGCGACAAGACTGACGCGGCACGATGATCCTGTCGCTGTGTGATGGTTTCTAAAGATATAATAGTTCGAAAAGAGTTTTGTTTCTGATGGTTTATCTTTGGAAAATATATCCGAACGTCTTCTAGTAAATCAAGGATTACCACAAGAGTTCTATTCGATCTCAAACTCGCGATCTTTGGACTCCTAGCTAATTTAGGATTAGGAATATGATCATATAGGGCCTAAATAAAATATTTGGACTCCATATAATCCTTGAGTCGTAGTAAAGATGGACCTAGGCTCGGTTTAGTATTTTGGCCATATCTCATTCGTTTTAAGTCAGATTTCAGCTTATAATATATCGTTGGAAAGCTATTTACAAGCCTCATCTATCTAAACAATAAATGGACTGTGAACATGGACAAAAATAATCAGCTTGGACGTTTTTTATAATTTGGGCACGAAATGAATGTTTTAAGGACACGAAATGAATGATTTTGAGTTTAAGGATACAAAATAAATGATTTTGGATTAAAACATTTTGATTAAGGTTATAAATATGGTCAAGGCTTAAGGAAACTTTGCGCGACCCTTCAACTCTTTGTCGAACTCGTCAATCAAAACGTGAAAGGCACTCATCACTAGGTTAAGTGTTTGGGGAACACAATTAGGTGTCTACACAAGTATTGTTGCTTTTTAGCTCAGAAAGCAACAAATGTCATATTGTTGCAATTTTGTGTGTTGCATATTCTTTTTTCTTTTTTTTTTTTGTTATGTGATGAAGTTGTGAAGATTTATGATGAGTTGAAGGATGTCTCAAATGTTTTGTATTCTACTTGGGAAGAGCAAAACAGAATGGAAAACCTTGAAAAGAATGATGGTGATGATGATGTTGACGATCCACATATTATCCGTATCAATGAAGAAACCTCTGAAGTTGCTATAAATGAAGGGCTGATATATCAGCCATTTGGTGCAGACAGTGGCGGATCTTGAAAAAAATTCTTTAGGGGGCCGATCAAAATTAAATGGGTTACATGTAAATACATTTATACAACTGAAGTAATAAAAACAAATGCGAACAATATCGCCAAATTTATACTTCGCTAGTACATCTTAAGGTTTTTAAGAAAATAGAGAAACAAGTATAATAATGACTAAAGAATCTGGATGCTAGGAGATAATGTAGGTGGAAAGGTCAAAATACTCAAAAGTGAGTTTTAGGCTTTAGCTTTGCCGTTGTAGGATATGTTAGAAACCATATACGTAGTACATAAAGTTGGGCCAACTCGTACATTTTTTTTTACTAGACTATATTAATAAATTACAACAATCACCCTAATAGGTTCCGGGCTTGGACCAGAGGCCAGGTCCCTATTGGCCCCTCGGATGATCCGCTATTGGGTGCAGATGCAGAAAAGGAAAGGGATGTTATTAAGGAAGTAGCCAAATTGCATAGTAACATTCAGAAGGAGTTAGCTAATGAAGTGGCTGATACTGGTCTGCCGCAACCAACTGTGGCTAAGGAAGCAACCTGCAAAGTTCTTACAAACATTCATGATGAAGAGTTAGCTTCAAAGGTAAAGGGTTCGATACAATGTGGAGAAAAAGGAGTTAAAGTTCATTTTGTTTGTAAGTGAATGAACAAATTAAGAATGAAAGAAATGCTAGAAATGTGTCAATTAGTGGTTGACTATTAATTTGTGCCAAAAATTCATTGTAAAGGTAAATTTTTTTTTATTTAACTTTTATTAATCTTTAATCTTCTTTATTCAATATATATTTCATTTACTTAATAAATTTTCTTGTGTGTATAGTGAAGAGATTGTCAAATTTGAACAACCACTTATGATCGCAAGAGATGATACAATATCTCTGGCTCCGTCTGCGCCCCTTCAATGATAAAATTAAACATTGTTCAGGGGTGGTCATTTCTTATGATCGTATTTAGATTGATGTCAAATCCATCGTGTTTCTTCTTTGGCATTGATCTCAATGCATGCAAGTACTATAATAACTTATGAAATTATTACATAATAACAATCATATGAACTAAATGAATTACATGTTTTATTTCCACATTAATATACAGAGACCTCTAGAGATTTCTCTCCTATCTCAAGATCCTTCATAAGCACAAAAACCTTATCAATAACCAAAAAAGCCTTCTCCCATAACAACTTTGGCTGAATTAATCAATCTTTATATGATTGGATATTAAAGAAAATATTGTAGGTGTTGATTTAGTATGTTTATTGGTAGTTATTATGTTAACTTTTTGAAATAAAATGTATTCATTCTAATTTTAAATTCAAAGGCGAATAAAAATACAATTTTAATGACAGATCTTTGTTCCATTCAGTTTACATAACCACTACAATTTAGTAGTGGTTAATTTCTTGAAACAAAGCATACAATACTTGGATAACAGAGAGTATGATGAAAATCATTGGAATCACTACAAAAGTGTTGTTGTGCTATGATTCCTTAGTACTCCCTCCGCCCGCTATTATCTGCAACATTTACTAAAAATAGGTGCTCGCTATTATCTACAACAATGTTTTTTATTTCCTTTTTTGGTAAATTTTTAGTAGTAAAATGTCACATTTACCCTTACTTAAAATTTTTAACATTATTTACATTCTTTTAATTACACTCAATTACCAACTAATTACCACCTTACCACAGCCACCTTCGCTGCCCCTACCACCACGAACCTAGAGCACCAGCACCACCTTCGTCGCCCATAACACCAGCACCACCTTCGTCGCCCAAAACACCAGCCTAGACGAGCCCAAAAACGAAGCACCACCTTTGTCGCCCCTGTTGTTGCTAAACTCCGACCATCCCAGACCATAAATCGTCGCACAATTCTCCGACCATCCCCTACCCCTTTCCGTCGCCACTGTTGTTGCTAAACTCGTGGGTTTTGGTGTGGTGGATTTCGATTCTAGATCTGGAAATCAGTGGTTTGGTTTGTGGGGTGGTTGGTTTCGGCGTGGGGGTTGCGTAAGTGGGGTTGGGTGTTGGAGGAACGTGGGTTGGCGGTTTCGGTGGTTTGGTTTGTGGGGTGGTGGGTTTTAGTGTTGGTTTCGGTGGTTTCGTGGGAGTTGCGTAAGTGGGGTTGGGTGTTGGGGGTTCGTGGGGTGGCGGTTTCGGTGGTTTGGTTTGTGCGATGGTGGGTTTTGGTGGTGGTGTCGGTGGTTCGTGGGGTGGTGCGGTAGTTCGTGGGTTGGGTGTTGGTGGTTCGTGGGGTGGTTGTTCTCCAATGTTTAATTGTGTGTTTTATTTTAATTTGGTTTAATTATCCCTTCTCTCTCCTCTTACTTTTCATTAATCTTGCTTAAGAAGTTTTGCCTAGGAGTCCGCATTTTAGTCCTTTGTTGCAGATAACTCCGGGCAGAGGAAGTATAATATATATATGTGTGTGTGAGAGAGAACCATGGTGAATAATGAGAACTGAGAACTATTGTCAGCCGTTGATCGAGTATCATCCGACGGCTGAAATCTCATCCGCTTCATTAAGGGTAAAATTGTAATTCGGGATTTGAATGACTACCTCGAATCTTCCCAGTATCTTTTTTCTCTTTCTCTCTCTTCTCCAAACTTACTCTCTCTTCATTCTGATTCTCTCTCTTGCGAATTTCTCCTTCATTTTTCACATTTGAAACTCTTGAATTTGTTATTGGATCATCGTCGTTTGTTATTTCCGATCAAGTAAGTTATTTTGTCTTCATTCTATTATTATTATTCACGATTTTTTTTTTAATTTCAATTGTTTCAAGTTTGAAATTAGGGTTTTTATTTGTTGTTTATTGTTTGATTAATTTGTTCATCGGTTTTCGTCATTGGTTTTTTGTAATCTGATTAATGATTTCACATTGTTATGTTAGTGATTTTATGTTCTGTTTTTATTTGTATAGTTTTGTATGATATGAGTTTTTTTTTTCGTCTTATTTGTTCGATTGAGATCTTCAATTTTATCTATTAAATTAGAGTGTTGTTTTTATTTTGTTTAATTACTCTAAATCAGTGTTCTATCTGAGTGGTTATGCTTTTTAATTCTGGGTTTAGTTGTTTGATTTTGCCTTCAAGGGTATACTTCTAAGATATTTAGATTTACTTTTGGAGTATTTTGATTTACTTTTTAGTATTTTGTACCTACATTTGCAGTTATTAAGATACTAGGCATGGTTTCTAACTGTCCCTTGTTTTTTGGTACCGAGTCATGTATGTTAGTTTGATACTCCCCTGGGTTATAATTGAATTTTGTATTTTGTTGTGTGGTGTTGATGTTAATGGCTGCGTGAAGAGTTGCTATGTGGGGTTGCTGTTTGGTAGTAGAGCAATAAGGGTATTGCAGATTTTGCTATTTGTGGTCATATTTCAGTAAAGAGTGGTTGCACAACTATATTGTGTTGTTTTTATCTTATTTATTTATTTTTTTTCTTATGTGTGTAGCTTATGCAAAAACCATGGCATGTGAAGGTGAGGATATATATCTTGAGTGATAATTTTTCTCTGCTATTACGAGGGTAATGTTTGAGCTCATTAGATTTTTCTTATTTACTTTTTAGATTTTATTATTTACTTTAGAGATTTTTTATTTACTTTTGATTATTTTTTCCTTACCTCAAATGTTTTAATGTACACTAGCCTACTAGCTCAATAGGTAGAGTATTGTGCAAATGTACAAAAGATGTGGGTTCAAATCACACGTAGGTTTATTTATTAGTGAAACTATTTTTATTTAATTTTGTCTATTTAAGTAGTTATCTACCTTAAAAACTTATATATACTTTTTGTATTATTTTATTCACTTTTTACTTAAAAACCTTTACTCGTTTGTATGATTTAAAGGCCAATGACTCAGTTTCTATGTTTATATAACACTTTCAAGGATTTAATTATACATATACTCTTGAAATTTATTTTATTTACTTTTGCTATTGTTTTATTTACTTTTAATTTGAAAACCTTTACATTGAGTTCCACATACTTCTTTCTTATACCTTGACTCATCTTGTAATGGTGTGAAAGTCAATGACTCGGATTTTTGCTCTTTAACAAAGTTTCCATAGTCACTTAATTATTAAAAGCTAATTAATTGTTCTTATACCTTAGAGCTAATTTGATTTGCTTTTTAATCATTTTTATGCACTTTTGAGGTATTTTAAATAACTTTTTACTGTTTTATGTTTTCTAATAAAGAGAACTCATGTAGGAATTGAACCTACATCTGTATACATTTACCTAGTTCCTATAGTGCTCTATGAGCTAATAGGTTTTAACACACTTTGTAGTCGAAGGATTCCCTTAAAGAAGATTACCTTTATATAAGCTCACTTTTAATTTACTTTTTGAGATATTTTGATTTACTTTTGAGATAATTTGGTTTACTTTGAGTTTTTTTTAGTTACTTTTAGAAACAACCTAGGTAGGAATCGAACCTACATTTTCTATGCATTTGCATAGTGCTCTACCATTTGAGCTAATAGGTTTTAGCACACCTAATAATAATAATAAACCTGTTCTTTAATTATTTCTTTAAGAGTGTCCAAACACAATGTGCTGCTGAAATTTGGCACAGCTATGCCTGTTCTGGAGACCTGTTAGCTTCCATTTTAGTATTCAATCTAGTTTAGCAATCTTTGCCATAACTTACTGAAAGAAAGGTCCTCTGTAGTCTGTTGTTTCAGCTTCATTGTTACACAATGTATACACAATCACATTTCAGACCAAACAAGATCATGATTCAGACCAAACATTTTGCATTATGTTGATCACAGTATACAGTTGGGGAGAAAAAGGCACAACAGAATTTGTTCATATGGTAAATGAGACTTATCCATGATATATTGTCTAGAGACCTGCATCTCTAATTGAACCTTGCTTGTCTTCATTGCCTGCCTCGTCTTATTTTGCATCACCTACATGTTCTCTCAAGCCCCCATCCTTGTAGGGACAGCCATCTCCCATATGTTGTTACGTGTCCAAGCACTATGAAGATAGCAACTTCGTATGACACACAATTCATGGTATGACACACAATTCATGATAAACTCAACTAAGGCAATACTAGGAATAAATGGATGAGAATTCAAATTAATAGCAACTTCTTTATATTTGGCCCACACTAATGAAGACCCAAAGCTATATATACCTTCAAGCTAAATTGTACAAGTAAAGGTTATCAATATTCAAGCTGAAGTCAATGATTATGGTAACAACCAAATCCTTGCAAGTCTAAAATTTTACAAGTATGAAAGATACATAAGAGTCTGATTGATTTACTTTTATCATATTTTTATCTACTTTCACATGATTAAAAAATATGATTAAAAGATAAAAACAATATGAAAGACTTCAATTCGCATAACTTACCTTTATGAACTAAATTATCAGGTACATGATTCACTGTAATTCTACTGATCTTTGTCAAATAAGAAGATCATCAATTAAATATGTACAAACTTTGAATTTAAACAACATTATTAAATAACTTAAAATCTAATCCAATCAAAATAAAATAGAAGCAAACTACATAATAAGCAATTAATATAACATAATAATGAAACATAAAATCTAACTTCACAAAAATCCATATAAAAAGAAAATTTAAGATCGAAGTAAGCTCTTGATGAATAGTAGAGAAGTTTTGCAATCATAAGAACCTCGACAATTTTCTCAATCATAAGAAATTTTCGCAAGAATTAACTCTAACATATGAGCAATTAAAAATCTCGAGAAATTTTATTATACTTTGTACAACACAAAATTAATAATCATATATCGCAATTAATTTGCTACATGATAATTTTAGTCTTTTGATAATACTTTTAAATATAATTGTTTTACTTTTACTTAGTTTATATCTACATTTGAATTTGATAAAATAATAGGATTCAGTGGGGAATATTGTTAAACAATTAGTGTGCATCAAAGTTTAAGCACCAATTAGTGAAATGCAAGTACCAAAATTGACAAAGTCAGTCGCTATAACCATTCATAACCTCATAAATTATAAATAAAAGAACGAATTTCACTATAAAGAACCTTAAATTGACAAAACAATTAATGATAAACCAGTGTAATTGAAATTCGTGATTTAAAAAAAAAATAGAAAAACAAATATAGAGGTATTTGTTGCAATGGAGGAGAGAGAAATGAGAGAGTGCGGCTAGTTGGTTGGGAAATGAATGGAATATGTTTGAATTAATCTGAGCGGCTCATCAAGCGCGCATCTAAGGTAGATCTAACGGCCCTAATTAGTTCCTAGTGTCTATTATTCACCTAGTTCTTATCGTAACTCGGTTATAAGTTCAGTGAGAACCCTCTTCATATGAGAACTTCTTTTAATATGTGAACCATCCTATAACCGTTGGATCTGAAAATTTTGATGGATGTGATTATTAGGTGTAAGTAATGACAATTTTGTAAATAACATAATCTTCCTTATTTTATGAGGGAACCCCAGTTAATATCAGAGATTAACAATTCAAGTTTATCTCCTCTCACAACTTTATGCATTGATTTACGTGCCACTTTATTATTTTGCTTTTATCATTTAAAAAATAAAAGAAAATAACTAGGTTGTGAGAGGAGATATATTCACAGATTTATCTTAGAGAGAAACTTGAATTTACCCTTATTTATTACTCCATTTCAATCTACTGTATGATATTTTTCTCTCTCCTCAAAGCTTTTTCAGTTGATTCCCAGTCTCTCTCCCCCCTTCGAAGCTCATAATCTTGATATCTTCCATTGATATGAACAGCTGAATATCAAGTACAATTATACACCAAAATTCATTCAAATATCAAGATCTTATCAAATTGAATAACCAGGTAAATTATTGATAATTATGCACCGAAATTCAGTCAATTTTTTGCAATTTTGTCAAAAATTAATACTATGAAGAAAGTTTGAGATAATAAATCAATATAGTAGTTCAAATACCAATTTCCAATAAACCAAAGACTATGCCCATTTTTAATACTTCTTCCGTTCTTTTTTATTTGATCCGCTTTGATTTTTACACTATTCATTACCCCTCCTTTGACCGTCTTTTGTGAATAATATGTAAGGAAAAACATATTCATGTGGGATCTTTTTAAATTCGTCTCAATAAGTTCTATCATATTATAGAACTTCTATAATTTTTACTTATGAAGAATTCAAGTTATTGATCGTTAAAGTTTTGCGTTGACAAGCGTGATAAAATAAGCAGGTCAAGTAAAGTAAAAAAGAACAGAGGAAGTATGGAATATTTTTTTCTCATTTTTTCGGTTGTTTCCCAAAACCCCCAAATTGCAATATTAAACCACCATATGAGAATGTGGAAGATATAGAAGTTAAAAATAATATAAAAAAATACTGAAATTAAAGCTTTCAAGTGCTCATCAATGGCGTCAAGGAGAGAAACAAGAAGAATGAGGAGAGAGAAAATTTCTAGAAATACCTGTGAAAATGTCGTAATATATGGGCCTTCTTCAATGGAAGGACTGGCGTGAAGGAGAGAGAAAGAAGAAAAAGGGAGAAAGAGAGAGAAAATATTTTCCCAAATAAGATGTCGATGATAGAGTTTTGTTATTTCTGTTTCTTTCTTCATTAAAAAAAAAATAAATAAATATAGGAGTGGTTCTCACAAGATTTGAGTTCTCATAATATCTAGCAAGTTGGAAAATTTACAGTTTTAAAATCTTAGTTTTAGGGATTTGTTTTTGCTTTGTTTATTTAACCACTTCAACTATACTAATTTTGTTTGTTTAAAAGTTGGCAAAGGGATATCTCCTATTTTGATGCCAACAGTCCGATGTAACTTCTTTTGTAGACGTGGAAAAGATTCAAATACATTTTCTATACATCATATTAGACCTTAGGCACAGACGGTTGAAATAAAAGGAACTTTCAAGCTCCATGAATTTGAATTTTGAATTTGAAATGCCTAGACTGAAGTCTACTTTGGAGGAAGATTGGTATCCAATACAGAAGACAGGAACAAAAGATGATATTGCAGGTTATGTACTTAATTAGTTGCGTTTTGTGGGAAAGTGTTGTATTGCATGTGAACCGAGATTTGAGTTCTCAAAATAAAGGGTGGTCTCACAATAGGAGTGGTTCTCACAATATATTCATGTAATTTGTTAATATATGAATAGTTTTATAATAAATTATTTCATGTTGATTGAACTCACTAATAAAAACTGGTACATTCACCACTAGCTATATTATAATATGTTGAATAAATTTCAAAGGAGTCAACAATATTAAACAAGTCATTTCAAATCATACAAAATCTTCAGACCTTGCAAATATATATAAAACCGACAAAAATGTGTCATATGTTGTCCTATACTTGAACAAAAATGTGTGTCCTATACATCTTAGCAATAACAACACTCATTCTCTACCAAAACATTTTTTCTCAAGCATGACTTATAAGCGAATGATTATAAAGGAGTCAATCCTTGTAAGGAGGAGCACTCTTCTCTTGCGCAAAAACTACTTAAATGGAAAAATCTATTGTAACACTTTATATCTTCTTATGTACCAACACCTTGATTTTAATCACCAAAATTCAAACCCAATGCTACTACAACATTGGCTTTTGGTTCTTAAACTTGAAATAATTATTGGGTTCCCACTATTCTGAAAAATCTTGAAGGATGAGTTGTCCATTCTTCACACGGAAATACACTTCTATTTTATGAACAAAACAATACCCATGAAACTTGATAAACCAAATTAATGGCTTCATCTTCAATTCCTGTTTCAATATGTCTTTCAGCCAAAGACTTAAGGATTGTCCATTCAAAATCAACTATGACTTTCCATTCGCTTTTAGTAGACCTTACAATGTTAAAAATTATATTGTTGAGATCATAAGCATTGTCAATGTCAATGACTGCTAGTAGATAGTGTTGAAAGATGGTGAAAAAAATGTAAAAATCCAAACTTTTTATTATATTGATCAAGACAATGCATGCTCTAATAAACCGGTGTATGTAGGATCTTTGTAGGACTTCTAAAAAATTGCTAGTTTGGTCTACATGGTAAAATCAATCTACAAAATTATGAAACCTCTCTTTAATAGAGTATTAGTAAGTAGGAAAATTTGCTCAAAATCACCCTAAGTGAAGCGTCCATTCTTAAAACACCATCGCACTTCACACTCTCTCTTCTAGTTTCGTTTCAGACTTAAATTTGAAACGAAATCAATTTTTTTTAAAAAAATGTTTAGCAATATAATTTACCGATGTCACTACCAATGGTACAAAGCCATCGACATTTTTATTAAATTAATATATTAATAAGATACCGCCATCGGTAGACATAATTTTATTTTATTTAAAAAAAACTTTTTACTGATGGAAAATAGGCATCGATAAAAATTATCGATGGATAAGCCGTCGGTAATGTTGAAAATTAATGATGGTTATATAAACCGTTTCGGGGTTTTCTGATGTCCTGCGGGAGAGTTACAATTCCGAGACTGGAACCGGACGCCTGTACCTGCAAAATAACGGAGACTCCTGGTGGTGGGAGCTCCGCCTCCAACGGTCAAGTTAGTACTTGATTAAGGAGTAATTAATGCGGAAATTAAAGTGATTGGGTCTCTCTAGGTGAGAGTGTTTAATGTAGGTAATCTGCTTTGTTAGCGAGATCAGCCGGTTATTACTGTGTGTAATTAATGTGTTTTTTCGTAATCCCCCTTAATGAGGATTAAGGGAGGTATTTATAACCTTGGGAAACGTGCCCATCCTAGGTTTGGGTTAACCTAGGGCCGATTGGGCTTCCCTCGGAAGTTGGGCCTGGGTGGCCGGTTTCTCCATTAGGCATGGAGTATGCCACATGTCATGACATAACAGGTCCAAGGTGGACGAATAAGCGCGTGCCACGTGGCAAGCCCTAACAGTTCCAACTGGGGGACACTTGGCAGGACCTGATTGGACCACGTGGCGCATTCCAATTGGTGGGAGCAAAATCCCCTAATCATTTGCCCCTCACAGGTGGCACGTGACTGGTCACGTGTTACCGGTGACAGGTGTCGCACTGTAACAGGCGGCGACCTTCTACAGGTGTCAGTCGGCGAAAGGACGAGAGATTTTCCCGCCCAAATTTTGAATTCTGGAAGTGACCCTTCGCCTTCTCACTTCGCCTATATAAGGGAGGATTGTCTTGAGTCATTTTCACACTTTGAGAACTATTTGAGAACATTCGGACCCCTGAACTTGCTCTGACATTTCGGACCTTTTCTGCCTACCGCCTGTTCTAACAAGCCGACTGCACAGGATTTTCAGAACTTCATCAACCGTCACTCGTTCAGGCAACTGTCAGTTCTCTTACTCTTAATTTTCTTTTTATTTTTTGAAATGGCACCACGGAAGCACACGACACGCCCTAGGTTAGTGATCAGCCGGTCACCGGGGACGGCTGAATCTAGGACTAGGAGTGTCGCCTGCCCTTTTCCGGACCCATCTTTTCCCTTTATACAAAGTCCGACTGTATCTGTGTCTATGCAGAGCAGGATGGCCAGAACGAAAAAGACTGCTAGGATCTCAAATTCAGACGGCTCCTCCCACAGGGTGCCGCTTAGTGAAACATCTAACCAGGCGCCAGATGTGGAAGTGAAACAAGGCGGCCTGAAAGCCGGCAATTCTGAGGGAGGAGTCATAGTGACCCCTTCCCATTTAACAGTTAACAAATCTGCTCCTTTTCAAAGAGAGGAGGCGGGCCCCTCCGGGAGAGGGGAGGAGTCGTCCTCTTCGGACTCGTCAGAGGACGATTCTGAGTCAAGCTCTTCTGGTCATGCTTCTTTGGACACAGAAGAGAAAAACAGCCGCCTGCAAGAGGCGAGACTTTCTCACGCAGTTGAGAAGGGGGACAATTGGGCGGAGCCATCCGCCTCTCACCGAGAGCTAAATACCCCCTATTACTGCACGGTACCTCGGGGCCGGATCACAGCCATGCAAGAGAAAGTGGAGAGCTTTATTGCAAACCACACCATGGGCCCCGACTTTCTAGTGTTTGTGCCAGATCCAGAAGACACAGTCGTCTGGCCGGCTGGTTCCAGTTATGATAGCGCCTGCTTTGGCTGCTACGAGGCGGCCATCAAGGCAGGGCTGCGCTTCCCATTACATCCGGCTGTTCAGCGGATTTTGGATGGGTATGAGTTGGGGTTATGGCAGTTAGCCCCAAACTCCTGGGTAAACGTACTCGGCTATGTGGCCGGGTGCGAATTGCACGGGGTGGAGCCGAGCTTCGAGGCTTTCGCCCATATGAACTATCTCAGCCGGACCCCTAAGACAGGCGGTACCGGCTGGTATCAATTGACAAGCCACAGGGGCTACCTCATGACGAGAGGTAAAGCAAACAAGTGGAAGGACTGGCGGAGCACCTTCCTCATCATTGAGAGTTCAGACATTGAGCTGAACAAGCGCTTCAATAGGTGGAACAGGAATCCGCCCCTTCTTGCAGGCGGCCGTAGCATGCCGCCTGTTCCCCCCAAGGCTAAGAAAGATATCCTTGATAAAGGACTCTTTAAAATAGAGTCGAGGGTCGACTCTACTTCAGGGGTACGAGAGCAAGTACCCCTGCACTGCGTCCCGAGCTTCAAGTGGCTCTATGACGAGTACTTTTTGGCCGCCTGTGGCCTCAGCAGTCGGTGCTCAAGAGGTAGTCGGCCTGTCGAATACTCTGTTGTTCCATACATTTGTTGTTATCTTTTATTAACTTTGTTGTTTGTTTTTGCAGCTGACGCCATGAGCAAAATCACCGCCTCCAAGACTGCGGCGGCCATGTTGCGGGCCTCTATCATGCAACAAGCTTCAACCGACTCCCCCAAGAAGGGGGCACCCTTGGTGAGCTCCGAATCTTTCACCCTTTTTTTGGAGTTGTATTTATGCATATACTGACGCTTTTCTTCTTTTTTAGACGGGTGCTCCAAGAGCTTCATCTTCCCAACAGCCAGACCCCAAGGCCCGGAAGACGACTGTTGGGAGCTCTCCTGGTTCTGCCAGGAAACATGTGGCGGCTGAGAAACAACCGGCCACTTCTTCTAAAACTCCAACTGGGCCGCCTAAAAGTAAGAAGTTGTCCTTGTAAATTTTAGACTCGCTCCCTTTTTTACTAGGTCTAATCCGTTTGTTTATGCTTGATGCAGTCGGCCCTCAGGAGCCTGACTTGGTAGAGATGGCCAAGTCTATGATCAGGGCAGTTCCTCCAGCTGAAAGGGAGGCGGTCAGGGGTGTCGGCACCCTTGACCTAGACGGGATTGCAGGGGTCCTTGCTGAGGTATACTTAGCATATTTTTGAGTATTTGAATTTCTGGACGCTTGTTTTCTTTTTTGTTTGGAAACTGACACCTGTTTCTTTGTACTTAGGCCCTGCTCCGAGTGAACAGCCTTCGCAAGCCGCTTGATCGGAAGAACAAAGAGGTAAAGGCTGCAAAAGCTATGGCCGCCTCTGACTGTGATAAGGCAATGTTTCAAATTGCCCAAAATGAAGTTCTGACCATTGATATTCTTTATTATCAGGCGCAGGCTACCGCCGCTGTTCGGGCTCAGTTAGAGGCGGCCCAGAAGAAGAATGACGAGCTGGAGGCGACCATCACAAATCTCAAGGCCGAGCTGAAAACTCTTTGCCTAAAGATGTACTCATACGAAGCCTTGGAGAAATCCTTGGCCAACGTAAAGGAACGCCTGGTGACCCAGGAGAAGAGTCTTACTCAAGAGCTCTCGGAAAAGGCCGAGCAAGAGAAGAAAGAGCTGGTCCGGGAGATGATGGAAGACTCCGCTCAAATCCAGCGCATGACCTGGGGCCGCCTCTTCCCCAATGCCGACTTTGCCTCTTGGGAAAGAACGTACCGCCAGTGTTCTGATACTTATAATCAAGAGATCCTGGCGGCTGCTGAGGAAGAGGCGTTGGAAGAAGCGTTGGAGGAGGAGGAGCCGGTAGTGGCGCTTGTGCCGCTTGGGGGTAAGGCATCAAAAAAGGATGCAGCTGAAGCCGAGTCCAGCAAGAAGAGTGCTGACCAGGCGGAAGCTGCTAATATTGAAGATCTGCCCCCTTCTTAAGCTTTATGTATTCTTTCCACGACCTGCGTGCCGTTTGTTTTGTATTTACCCGGCCAGGGGGCCGGGGCTTTGAATATTTTGCCGGTCTTTAATGGTCGGCTTCTTTTTAATGAATTTTTGTTTTGCCTCAAATTTGTCTAAGTATTCCATATTCTAATATC